AGAGAGAGAGAGAGAGAGAGAGAGAGAGAGAGAGAGAGAGAGAGAGACAAATGTGAAGTGAGTGAGATGGAGCACTGATGGGCAGCCACCTCAAATATCCTTGAAGTCTCTTGCTAATCAGGCTTGTTGATGTCTGACTATCATGAGAGCTAAAGCTGCACTAGCACACCAAGAGTAAGATTTCAAGTACCAGTTGTTCCTGTACAATCAACCCTCTGTGCAGAGCAGCAGGTTTAAAATTGAATCATTTCATGATGCATGCAGTGATATTAAATTCTGATATAAAGCCACCGCTGCGGGAAGACATAACAGCATCGCGACACAAGAACACTTGAAAGCATGTATATGTATGACCTGCTTGTGTAAATGGATACAGTTGGAGTGTGTGTGCACACAGTACTCTTGCGCTTGTTAACATACCCGTGGAGTAGATGGCTACCCGGTCGATGCCTCTGTCCTCCGCCTGGAGCTGTTGCAGGAAAACTCCCACACAGTCACTGAGCGGCTTGAGGGTGAACTGGCAGCGCTCTCGCCGGGACGGCAAACTGACTGAGATCACCGGCAGCCCGTTCTGATACACCACCGTCACCTCTGTGAGGGGGTTGCAGGCAAGAAAACGACAAATGTCACACAAGCAGAAAATGTAAAATGACACCCCAAGGTCTTAACTGAACCATGGAAGTGAGCTTTCATGTGGATGCTACTTCTGATTGAAGAACATTGAATAAAGATGCATAAGCAACAGTATATTGCTTATTTTGTTCAGCACTAGTTGGTCTAGGCATTGTCTGTACACACATGTGAATTACTCACTAGCGCTAAAACAATAATTATGTCCTTAATTCCTGTAATTTGACCGTATAATCTGGATACCACAAACTAACTGAAACACTGCAGAGGCGAATACTCTGATGGTGCTATGTTTGCGCTACTTATGTAGATTGATGACACATAGGAGTGTGGTTTGAGACCCAGCAGGGGGCAGTACAACGAAAGAGCTCCACCTACCAGAGGAGTTCAACACCAAAGCTGCCAAACAACACGGGACGCCAAATACAAACCCTTCATTATCTATCGGTTTGTCATCAAGCACTTGTGGAAACATTCTTGGAGCATCCACTTTGGATACCAAAATAGGATTCTGGAATCACTGTGTTGAGCTTTATGACGATTTAAAGTTAGTGTACTCTTCTGTGACTGAAAACATTTAATAGGATCTCGCTGCTGTAAACACTGCAGACAGTATCTGCAAAAAGGAACAAACTCAAGAGCCATTTGTAAATCCTTCAGGAATTCTGATTCAACAGATGACTAAACCTTATTCATCAGTGTGTTCACACACACACACATGCAAGTACAGGCTCATACACGTAGACACGGAAATACACCGACGGTGGTTGACTGCAAAAATAAGCCCACTCCTGACTGTAAGATCAATACAGTACAATAGTGCTCAACTTCTCCTCACAGAATTGTTCTGTCAATTTGTTGATGGCAACTAATGATATTTCTTATTCCCATAGAAAGGCTAAAAGGATGGTTGCGTGGGGGGCTTGAGCTATACATTGCTAGTTCATGGTGTTTCAGTGTTTAGTGCTTGTTTCCGTCTGTACTTGCTGGTTTTAGGCACTACCATAAGAACTGTAGTTTGTGTCCCAAACAGCTGAGCCACTGCTCTGCTTGGTGGCACTTTATTATTATTTTTGCATACTAGTAATAGACTGTAATCCAGCTCTATTGGTCTGAAATCAGACTCTGGTTATAATGAGCCTGCACAGCTTACACCATTAGCATGCCGAGTGGCCCCTAATGACAGAGCCATGGATCAACGCAGAGGGCTGAGCGCCGGCGGCGGTCCAAGGTGATTTAAGCTGCCTTGTTGCTGCTGCTGCTGCACCAAACAACCTGTGCCTCCCGCTCGGGACCACTGCAGTGAATCAGCAGATCTCGGCTTGGGCTCGCACCCAGAAATGAAGGATCGTCGGCTGGCACAGGCAGTACCGGCTGGGCTCCGTCTCTAGTGTCTCTTGACCACGTTCGAAAATGCAGAGGTGCAGACATTTTATTTCACACCCACATCTTCATTATGGCGACAACTTGAAACCTTGCCCCGGGCATCATGGCTGTTTCTGCACCTGTTCCCCTTGTCCTACACCATCCTGTCATCACAGGCACACTGGTGAATGTGTGAGGACGCTGTGCTCATCTCCGCTCGTATCCTACAGCTATCAAGGGCCACTTTCAAATCCCATCAGTATGTTCTGCAACGCCGCTGCCTTCTCCTCTCAGCCCCCTTTACCTCTCTCTTCCTCCCTCTGTTCAGTTCACACTCTCCATCTCTCCCGCCTCTCACACAGACGAGCAGATGCTTCCCCGAGACAGATTCCATATTAATGACTACCGACTGTTAATTTCAAATGAGCCTCCGCTGTCTGATCAATGCAGCATTCCCTTAAGCGCAGAACTCGTTTTTGTCTCAGACAAGGAGCAGAGGCTGGATTTGGGGAACCCTTGATGCCCTGGCATATGGACAGAAATAAACTGAATGACGTGAGAGGTGGCAGGGACTTACCCTCTGGTGCAGTGGCAGAACACAACAGTCTCTGGCCATGCCATGAGGGGGCGCCCCTCCAAACCTGCAGACAGGAGGACAAAAGTGCAACAACCTGGTTATTACATTTGAACACAGCTTTTTTATGACTAATGTTTCCATTATTTTAAGTGGGCTGTGAGCCAATGTGTGACACTCAGCAACATGACACTACCCTTCACTTCTCTAATTGTTCATTTCCAAGACTGACTACAGGGTTATGTTACAAAATGGCTTCCTCTGTTCCAGTTTCTAGGAATGTTCCAATACCCAGGCTGGAGCCACACCCATGAAGCACAGTTTCAACTGCAGCTTCCTGGTCACGGAAAGATTTTACAATAGGATGACGCATAAAAAAAAAACCTCACTGACACACACACACACACACACACACACACACACACACACACACACACA